TTCTCTACCGCAGTGGTACGTTCCGCCTTGGCGATCAAAGGCTCAGACGTCTAGACGAGCTGAAGGGAACTCTGGCGACTCACTACGTTCGGCCTCTCTATACCCGGAATGCCTACGGAATGTCGTGGGTGCGTGATGCTGTCCTCCTTGAAAGGATAGTCAGACAGGAAAGCTTTCAGTTGTTCCAGCTGGCGAGCCAACATCTGCGGCGGGCGTATGTTAAGCCGTGTTCTGAGATGGCCCAACCACGAACCGATCATGCGCGACCTATATATAAGCAATGGCGAGCGGCGTGCGACGCATGGCGGAGACGCGCGTTCAACAGAACGAGCGTCCTGCGCTCGGAGAAAGCCGCGCCTACCGGGCACGCGCCCGAGTTCGACTGTGAGTTTGCTAACAAGCGACGCGACGGGCGGAAATTCCCGGTTGATGCAGAGCATATGGAATGGAAGAGATGGGGAACCTATCGCATGTGCGCCCCGGTCCGCGTAGCTTCGCTATCCAAGTCACTTAGGCTGCGAAAGCACTGAGCTATCATGTTATCGTCAATCAGGCCATTGCCGGGATCCAGTATGTCTCACATGATGATATGAACAGAGAAAGCGATCCCTCTTCTGGAGATAGCCGTGCACCGGAGCACTGCGTCGGTCCGGGCGGTAAGAGATCGCTCGCGCTTAAAGGCGACGGGGCATTGGAGTCGGCTGGTCCGTGCATAACTTGACCGGTTCTATGATGAATGCTCTTCTCTGTGTCCGGAATCGTCTCGACTCCAATAAAAGGTCATGCAAGAAGGTTCTGGAAACAGGTGTCAATGGAGGCACACACACGGTGCGTATTTGCCCCTCACCTGAGCAGCAGTAACCTCAGGTTTTATAGACTGCGAGGGCCTGGGATGTTGAGACGCAGCGGAGAGCCATTCAGAAGCAAGTGGCGGTCACGATCACGGACGTAGATGACTTACTCAGGACTACATCGGAAGTGAGCGAACAAGAACAGGGGAAGAAGTCGTTGCTGACCGATTGCAGTTACAGATCCAAGCGCATCTCATTCTGAAATGTCCGCTCTGTGCAAAGAAGATGGCGCGCCCTTGCATGTCAGTGTGGCGTGGCACCCTCTATCTGCATATACTGAAGCAGAGAACCCAGTGTTAGAGCTTGCAGACATGCCGTGTGCGAGGATTGTGCTCGCAAGGCCATGGAAGCCTCAGCTTCGCGCATCTTCACGTGCTGTCCGTATCCTCATTGCGCGGCGATGATGCGTCGCTTACCGCTTCCGTTGGAAGCAGTTGACGGGATGGTCAGGGCCCTAGTTCAGACCCTCAGTTTGCGCGACAACTGTAGTGAGACCGCCCGCGCCACCCACAGTGTTCCCTTGTAGCATGCCATCGCGGGGTTGTACATCTATCGCAGACGCTTCGGAATGATCTCTGGCTTGGTCGTGTCAATGGCCATTTTGAAGTGGATCGTGAGTGCAGTAAGAGGCGAGACGTTCTGCCAACGGGGTGACGACCACCGGTTCCCACGGTTGCACCTCGCCTTCAAGCAGCTGCCACCACCTTTGTTTGCATATCGATTCGACATACCCCTACGACAACCGCATCACATATGGTGTGCTATACTACAACAATGAAGCAAGCCGAGCCTGTACGTGCTGGAATGGAGAATGCTATCGACTAGGCTGAAATCACACTGAACAGATCCGATCGAGTGCCCGAGCTCGTCTTCAACAGAAACGATCTCGAATCTGAAATGTTCCAATCCGCGCTCCGCGGTACGTGTGAGTCGACGGAGCGACGCGCTAGACGGAAGCCTTCAACAGCGCGCCAACTATGACCGTCTTGCCGAGGATGCGGTAAATTCGAGCATAGGACAAGAGGGGGAGCTTGAGTATCCTTGCGACTTGCGGGACCAAGAGTCAAGGCTTGACCGGATCGTTTACGTCGCCGTTGATCCCGTCGCGATGCCGGATGTAAAGGCCTTCAGACTCGCATACGCGACCTTGGAAGTCTATGCGTAGCTCACGAAGTCTCAGGATAGCTGTGACTGGAGCCGTGGCCGAGCAATTGGTAGGGGTGAGAGCCGGTCAGACAAGCCTCGATGGGTGTCGTCGCTGATTCATGACCCAAACTTCCTATCATACAATGTGTGAGTCATTGCTCTATATGCATTGGATGGGAGACTGACATTCGCCGTCAATGATCTGAACGCATCCAGGCTCAAACGCCAATGCTGCGACGTACGTAGATACCGACAGGTCAAAAGCGCACTGTCCATACCCTCGTTGTCTGCGAAGATTTCAGCTAAAGCCGAACGTGAAGAGGTAGAGGCGGACCTGGGAAGATGCGCGGGAGTTGTCGAACGTCGAGATTGCGATGACTACTGGGAAGCAGAGCGGTATCATTCGTCCCTCCGATCTCGACGAAGCTCACTTTGTCCCGCTTTGCGCAGAGAGGCGCAAAGACGATGATCAAGTATATTCAGTCGTACTCCATGCCCCGTAGCAGAGCCGTGATATAGCACCGAAAATACCCCCACCCCGCCCTCGAAGTGATTGGGACGTGCGCATAAGTGGCAAAGGGGTGACTGGCAGAGTCGATAAGCTGTCAACTACAGCGTCTAGATGAAAGCCGGTGCTCTTCTTGCACTGCTGTCTCCGGTAGTGCCGCGCTCTGGGAGGTCCGGCAGCGAGGATTTCGGCAAACCTCGGATTTATCCACGTCGTAGAAGGGCGTGTAAGAGTTAGATGAGCCAGGGAAATCGTGACAATAACACGACACCGTTGCGGGTTTGGAGGGGAGGGGGTCACAACAGGGGAATGCCGTCCGACGGAGAGAGGGAGACTGATTCTCGGAGTCTGCTGGCCAGCGGATGCCTCGTGCAGGTTGTCTCAATAGATCGGTGCAGCGGTCGGAGCGGGATCTCGAGACTAAAGTGTTCTATGAGATAGGGATAGATGAACATGCACGTAACAAATTACCTTGTTTTCTTGCGTTGTGTAGAGGTATGCGAAGGAGACGCTTGGTGCTCCTCGTGGATCGTCAATAGCGAGGGGTAAGTGGGTTCTGGATGGGGTAGGAAGGAGGCTGTTCGCCGACGGAGATCGTCGCATTGACCCGTTCAAGTGCGGGGTGGACGAAGTTGCGGCGGCCTGTTGGCTGCAGATGGGCGCAGGTTTCCGTGCAGAGTCATTCCGGCTATTTGGAGGCTTGAGCGACTTTCTTGGGGAGAACTTCCGTGACGAAGATGGCGGGATAGGAAGTCGACAGGACCAGGATCCGTCGTTACAGACGTGCGTGTTGGGGCCAGAGAGTTGACCGACGTAAAGGACGTGGGATTTCTCAAGCCTGAGGGTGCTGTAGAAGCTGTATCTTGCCGCTTAGGTTGGCGCGAGGACCCTGGTAAAGGCAGCGATGCTGATTGTGCACTGTTAGTCTCGAGTTCACAGTCGGGTGCGTACAAGGCAACACATACGGGCCTCGTCTAGCAATCCGTCGCCTACGCAAGTGGGCGAATCCCATTTTCGCCTCCGCGCCCTCACCCCTGGATCCATACCGGCAATATCTAGCAACGAGAGCACTACTATATTGCAGTCTAGTTGCTGTACATGGTATGAGACAGGCGATAAGATTTGCATGAGAAGCGATACGTACCTGGGATGGACGATGGCCGCCGTGAGTACGGGACAAGATCCTCTTTCACGCAATGAGGACGGCGTGTTTGTGCAGGAGATAGAAAGGGTTGGTCCTGAGAGCTGAGGCACCCCGAAGCATACGCTGTGGACGGCAGAAGCAAGACCGTATTCGTGTGTAAAGACGCCGTTCGCGCGTCCAACGCTGGACGTTTATCAAGGAATAAAGGCTGCGAAGGACTACGCTGACGGCTGATGAGCGTCCGAAGCAACCATGAACGCGGCCACGGGCTTTCCGAAGTTCGTTTGATCGCGCATGCGCGTACTTATCTGACGCCATGGCTTAGACGATCGGTAGCATACCAGCCGCTCAATCGAGAAAGGGACCCCTCGATGTTTAACCACGCTTGCTATAGTAACTCATGTGCCCGTGGCAAGGGCGAACTGCCACGCGAACCGTCTGCCGTCAAAAGCCCCTAGTTGGAGCACAGCGCGTTAGCAACACCACTGACTCGGTGGCGCATCCACCATGGTGCACGGCCGCTCATCTCGCAGGTCATAAAGTTAAAGCGGTATGTACATGCTGATAAGTTGCAACCATGCCGTGGCTTCGCCGATGCGCCGTCGCAGCCTCCCACACACAGTATCCAGCGCACTCTATGTAATATAGACTGATACCTGGTACAATCAGACATAAAAAGCCAATGTCTACAAGTACTCTAATGACGTCCGAAGTCAGCACCTGTTTCTCCCCATCAAGCCTAAAACAAGTGCTGACCCCATGAAGACTCGAACCCTCGACCTAACGAACGCCATACTCAAGTAAGATCGACCTATGGTGCCGTTCAGTCATATCGCCGCTGTCTGGACGTGAATTAGTAGGTTGAACGGTTGCTATTTTACCCGTATGGGATGTCTAACCGCATCTAGACTTGACGCTTGAATTGCCGCCGTCTCTTATTACCTCTTCCTTCTCTTCCTCGATCCAACTCGCCGGCGGTAATCAATTATCATACCTATACCAATGCCGCCCGTCCGACCGTTCGCACATGCGCCTTGGGCCTCTGGCTGGTGTCGTTGATGTGTCTCTTGAATCCAGTGGGAGCTCCACGAGACGATCTGCGGCCCGTGTTAGGTATGAGGCGTAGCGCAATCCGAGGTTAGTACCATAGTCTGATCACTTTGATGGCGGCTAGGTTTCGTCTCTCCCACGTCGCGGTCAAGTTCAGCGTACAAGTACCCCGCCGCCCGTCCTCCCTCCTCCCTCCACTCTCCACCCGCCCTCACGCTGACTTCACTCTTCAATGACTGGGGTCAGGATCCGTCATAACGCTCTCGCGATACTAGCTAACATCTCTTGCTAGAACAACACTATGGAGGAGCAGCTAGACGCCCTTGAAATCGAGCTCTGCGACGTCAAGATCGCCGCACAGAAGGCCGAAGCCAACGTCAACCCACCGGCTGAACGAGAGATCGCTCAGCTGCATGTTCAGCGTGTGCAGTTACAGCTCGACCGGCTTCGGAGGATCGCCGCTGGAGAAATCGTACGGCACAATTCTTTTTGCACCCGACGCTCTTGATACCCCTCTGACACTGTCCAAAACAGGGCGACCCGGTTCTTTACGACCTACAGCTCGAGCTTTTGGTCAAACGCATCGAGTGCGCTACATGCCTTGCTAAAGGGGCCCCCGAAACGGACGCCTGCATCGCTGGCCTGGAGGTCGATCGCGCCGCTCTACGGCTCAGGCATTACCAAAAGCGCACGGTTCCCGCGTCATCTTACGCGCCGTCTCATGCCGCCGACGGCGCTACTCCTGCTCCCGGTTACGACGGTTTGCCTGCCGAGCAGATTCGCCATCTTACCTCAGCCCCATCGGTCGATCCTGCCATGAACGCTGCAGCCTCCACTGTGGCCAGTCGCCTTCCTTCTCCGGTGCGACAGTCTCACCCTCCGCCCGATGCAGGCGAGAACTCCCTTCCCACACTGGCCCCTGCTCCCGACATCCTCTCTCTCATCGACGGTGCCACCGATGACTATCACACCAAAGATGACTTGGTTGACAGCGGTGACGTTGAGCAACAACTCATTGGCGCAGATGTTCTTCGTTCGTCGCCACTCGCTGTTGACTCTCCACGATCCATTCATACACCCGCTCCCTGTGTCATCGATATTGACGATGATGGGAACGCCCGTGACGTTACGCCGGCGGTCTCGTCGTCACCACACGTTGAATGCAAGCCCAAGGCCGACACTCCAGACGAAGATTCAGTCGCTGTAGACGACAACAAGTACGGCACGCCTTCCGAGTTGGCATCACGGTCATCGACGCCCACCAAGACGTCCTCGAATTCCCTGCCCCGCACGGCTCGGACAACCACCGCGTCCACGAGGAAAAACGGCGGGCCCAAGGAACCCAGCAGTCACCCCGAGCGTTGGGCGTGTCGCGTGTTCAACTTCGGCGCTGGTGCGCTACGCGAGTCTGCCGATTGGTCTCAAGAATCGTGCCACCTTACTCGCGATCTTTGGGTTTCCGTCACACGCTGGGAGTCCGTCCACGCTTTCGAGGTCAGTCCGAGTGTTCAAGTCCCTTGTCTTGACAAGCAGACACTGAACGAGACATTCGCAGAACGGTGCCGTCAACGCGCCAGGTCTTCCATCGATCATGAAGACGATCGTCTCCAAAGCGCGATTTGGGCCCAAGTATCAAGACGTTCTTGGAAAAGATCCCGACTTCCCCGCCAACGTCGGAAAGTGCCTTCAGGCGCTTCGCGCCGCAACAGTTTCGGATGCGATGAAAGCTTTCGGGGCGCATGGCCTTGCAGCTGTTGCACGTGCACTACTGGAGTTACGCAATGCCAACGACGCATTCGACGACGCATTCGTATCCCTCGCGAGCGAGCTTATCAAGATCCTGGACGTGCTCGCTGATTTCGCACTCAATGATAGCAACGCTGGCGCCGAGGACGATACGGCTAGTGTATCTAGCAACTCCAGCACGACGGTCTTTGCGACCCTTGATGCGCTTGCGGGATACGACATCACTTCCGCAACTCTGGCGATCGAAGAACTGCAAGGGCGCCAGAAACCGGAGAAGCCGGCCAGAAAGGGTCATAAGCGACGTGCGTCGCAAATGGAGCCCCCGCGCGGGAGCTCGTCAAAGCGCGCCCGCAGGTCGCCTGATTCTGAATGATCGTGTTGAAACAAATTTTGTATTGACGACATCTTGTGTAATACTACGAGTTTCCTTACCTCCCCTCAATACGTTCTCTCGAGTTCATGAGGCCGGCTGCTGGTGAGTACGTTTCCAGCGGGCGCAGCCTGAGTGAATCCTGCGAGAGGATATCTGCCTCATCCTCTATGATGATCACCGCGTCATTCACATTGACCGGTGCGACAGAGGTCCTAGGGCCACGACAAACGAGGCGCGAAGAGAGGCCAGGCCGTACTCATAACGCGAAGCCATCCAGCCGCAGAGCACCACGCTCAAAGCGACGCGTTAGAGTATTGATCAATACTGTACCGCCTTCGGCGTCGCGTGACTTGCGCAGGAAACTCGAGGACATGCCTTGTAAATCCGGTCGACGAAGTCCCGAAGGTGGTCAAGATCTTATACCAAGGGACCGAGCGCGAGATCACCCTGCATCTTACGAGGATACAGAGTCCGCGCGGCGAGCGGGTTTAAGTAGCGCCGTGTCTTCGCGCGCGACGGTTAGGCCAAGCTAGTCGTATGCATGAGCAATACGTGTTCAAGGGTACGAAGACCTGTCTTATTTGCATCGCAACAGGTGACGAACCCTGAGGTCAGGACACGTATTCACACTTCTTCGGCAATGAGCAAGCCATTACAGGGGCATAACTCACCACTACTATCAGTCATCGCAGTACACCATCATTAGAAGACGTATTGAGGTACTGAAGTGACCAATCAACGGCGTCGCGTCGAAAGTGCAATTTGCACACTAATATAATATGTACAAGCACCATACCCGGTTCCATATCGTACAACCTCGGAAGATGACTACTGCTATGTGAGTGGTTGTTTCCGCGTAGAGGCGTCGAACAGAGCCTTAACGAGCACTTCGTGCATCTACACCGGCCTTCATCCACGCTAAGAGATATGCCGCACACGTGATCGTAAGCCATACAAGCGCCAGGCAGCTGAGTTTGAAGAATTGGTAGACGTCCATCCAACGTAGTTCTCCCTGTTCCGCCTCGAGGGTGGTCGTGGGTCGGGTCTATCCTTGCTTTAGTTGATGCTTGATTGTACAAGAAAGGTGCTCCCTTACCGACTGGTAGAGACGGATATCTGGGAAGTCGGCCGTGAATGGCAAGATGGCGTCTGATGATGGTGATTGCTGTTGAGTCGAAGATACCTTGGGCAAACCCTGTCATCATCATAGTCAGCGTGCGAAGGTAAATGGGACAAACGCAAGGTCTCACCGGATGAGGGATGATATTGTCTTCAGACCAGATTGTATGGAAGGAGACATCCTCTGACAAGCCCAGTTGCTGGGAGAGTTTGGTAAACAGATTCTGCCATGGTTTAAGCGACGTCTGGGTGTTTGAGGCCCACGAAAGTACCTACCGAATGGGAGACATGACTATCCTGTGACTGAGGCGTTATTGAGAGGATGTCCGATGATACTGATCGCTGCTGCGTAGAGTGTTCGTTGAGTATGGATGATCGTACAACGCAGGTCATCCTTTGACTTACCCTATCATTCTCGGAAGGCTGCCATGAGTTAGCGTCCGCCGGAGCTTGTCCTACGGGGGAAGGCTGTCGCGTATCTTGAACCTGGCGATAGTATAATATTAAAAACTAGACCCGCATAGCATCAGGATTCTTACGAACAGCCATAGGGGAGGATTGCCCTTCGCTGTCAAGTCCACGACGACCCGTTAAGCGTACCCCAGCGACGTGCATGCCACCCTCTTTCACTGGTCGGCTTGCAAGGTGATGGCGTAGTTGACCGCTAGGAAAGCGTCCCCTCCAGAGACCACTCTGACATGCATTCAGACGCAGGCATGGCATAGCAATATCAGCACATGTACCGGTGATCTGAACTTGGTCGGGCTTTGTGAGCCCCCAATCTCAGTACTTCCGTAAGGACGCTTGGGCGGGTCTTCGGCCATGAGGTGGGTGTGAATATCCGAGTATACCAGAGGTGAGACGACGCATTGGGCCAAGGCGAGCGTCGGTTATGTAGGGCGAAACTGCAAGATCTTCTGTATAGTCCGACGTTGAAGACGGGCGGGTCGGCAGTCAGCGTGCACAGGAAGACGGATACACTTCCGGCTATCGATCAAGGCAGACGCCGAACATGAGGCGAGGCGAGACAAGGCACCAGAAGTGTACATGAGGGGGAAAATGGGCCAGTCGCGGGTGGGTAGTAGGCCGTCTGCGAAGGGCGATCCCGAATCTCCTGATGATAGCAAGGAACAAGGCGAGTCGGATGCACGATGGTACACGTGAGACGTGGAACCGCGCGTTGCCCTGCATCGCCTGCCCACCGATTCCTTCTGCAGTCGCGTCATGAGTGGCTGAAGCCCACCCACCACCAGGGTCTGTGACTACTACGATTCCCGACATGCCTCCCGCAGGAGAAGACGACGACGCTGCCATCTTGAGCATAGATCACGAATATCTCTGGGACGGTTCCGACAGCGAGTGCACGTGTACGGGCGTTTCCGGATCGTCGGCGCCAACTAGTATACGGCAATTCCCTCTACCTTCCTCAGAGATGCCTGTTCGCTGTTTTCAATGCATGCGATCGGATACGCCTCCCATGCCTGGGCTCTCTTGATGCGGAGATGGCCGTTCGTTCGACTACCACTAGCTGGGTGCTTTCATAAGCCGGCCCCGCAAGCGTACCGTCCACCATCGACACCCATACCCTCGTCGTTCATTTCCCGGCGCACGCTATGAGCAGTTCACCGCCAAGGGTTGTCCTTGTCCTTCTCGCCGTAACATAACTTCTCATCCGACATTCTAGTTCGAGTTACTGGACGACGACTGCACCTTCGCAGAGCGTCTGCCTAACGGCGACCTCGTCAAGATGGACGTGGAGACGGACGCAACCGCGGATGTCGTGCCCATCACGCATTCCCAAGTAGTCAAGGAATTGGCGTTCAAGTTGAAGGAGCATGAGATGGTACGGACTACGGCACTCTGACCTCTATCCTATAATAACATCAGCACATCAGTTTCGTTCGATTTTG